GGCAGTAGAGAGTTAGATTTCGAGTCAAGGTTGTGGAAGAAGAAGGRAAAATTATAAGTGGTGTTCACAAAGTTAGGTCAGGATTTGACTGTAACAGAYAGAGAACAGACAGCACACATCAGAATTAAGCAAATCAGATTAATGTAAAATAAAAAAGGTGGGGGTCAATATCTACATATACACATTGTACAAATGCATTCAGACACACAATAAATATACATCTGACAACGTTGTAGCCATATTTTGTGTTGGTTAAGATCAATGGTCTAAAATKGCAATGAYTACAAAATGTAATCTCTTTAATCACTTTTGGAGTGTTTAATWAAAATCTGTCCAATAGTACATGTGTACATTATGCTAACAGAGATGACTTCACTAAGCTTTAGAAACAAATACTGCTTGGCCTGTTAGCACTCACAGTACATGTGAATGACTCACCGCTACTACCACATCAAAACTTTAGCTTAATACAATTGACTGATTTACAGCTGATTTTATATTTATTAAGGTCAAGTAGCCGTGGCAGCCATCTTTAATGGAATGACTCCACATGTTAGTCAGTAGTAGATGTACATACATAACCTCTCCGATGTTGTTTGTCATAGTTTCAGCTCATATTTGTTTCGACATGACTTCATTTACAGCAGCATGATTAACTTCARTTAGGACTCGACACTCAAACACTTGCTTCAACGTATGTTTTAGGGTTACAAATAAGTTTTAGAACAGTTTTTACGGATTGCACGACTGCAAAGTCAGTTATCAAAAAATTATTCTGAAGCATTCGTTTCAGTGCACATTGAACAATGRCTCCATGGTGAAAATATGATAATCTTTCCGGATTAAAGTCAAACACAGGAAACCCGAACGCAGCTCTTTATTGATAGTAACATCCGTTTGGTTATAGGAGATTTAAAAAAAGTTTGTTTCGGGCCGTGAGCCCCACATGCACAGTAAAATTCAAGGGAGATGTTATCATGATGGGGGAYGCTCAACTGCTGCTTCTGTTAGAGGAGGAGATAAATGAATTTAGGGTATAGTAAGTCAAATCTCTTCAGTTTTCTAGTTTGAATCTACAACCATAAAATAAAACATTTTTAAAAATGTGCAGTTTTATAATAACCCACCCATAACTAACAATAAGTGGGAAACGGACTGTATAAGACCAGGCTGGCCATCCACACAGAACTCTAATATATCTTGCCAAAGCTAACATGAACAAATCCATCTAGATCATGACACCAAAGGGACACATCAGAGGGACTGAGGGGTTCAGTRTCTTGCCCAGTATGTGACTGGTGGAACTGAACCTCTGACTCTTTCAATGGAGGATTCTAACCACCGATTCACAGCGGCCCCCAGAGATGGAGGGGAAAGACGCAAACTAAAGCAAAACAGAAACTTACAGCAAACAGGTGCAAGAAGATTCTTGATAAGACAACAGGAAATGGTTTTGAAGCTTTCATGTTTGCTTCAGGGAGCCAAGAGGAGTCTGATAGATCTGGCTTTAGAATGTTTTGTTCAGTTTTTCCGCACAAAAATGTATTTTTCTATTGCTTGTTTATACACATGAGTATTACAATACTTGAATTATATTTATTTTGTGATTATTTTGAACACTACTCCTATGTTTACAGTGTACAATGGTACATCCTTCCTTCCTGCAGTAAGACTTTGACTAAAAAACAAAACTCTTTACAGATCAGTGTTGCCAGATWTATGACAAATATCAAACTTTGTCTATTGTCACTTTTGTGATAACTATTAWTATGTTAAGAAAATTAAATGAAATTATGAGCCTAAAAATCAACTCTGTGACATTTAATTAGGTGATTTATTTTTTCTGTCTCCTTTCAGTTCCTTTTTTTACTCTGTATATTTATAGTGACATTTGTAGTGCAACAAGCTAACTCGTGGTCTAATTAGCATTCTGAGACATTCCTTCAAGTTCAATCAAAGTAGAAAACAAAAAGGTCAGCATCATCCTGCCAGCCTCCTCTTTCATCATCACTCCTGGTCTTTACACACCTTTGTCTAACATCTCCTGTTTCCCTTTACTCTTTTTCTTCCTTCCCCTCACTTTCTTGTTGTGTCCATGTTTTTTTTATTTCTATACTTGTCACCCGCTCTGTTCTCCCACCTTCCCCTCTGTTCTTACAGTCCCTCCTCTTCCTCTCTGTAACTCCAGTTCAGTGACCTTCGATCTCAACAACAGTTTTCCTAAACCTCTAAAGCAAAAACAGAAAGGGGATGACTTTTGTCAGGACAGAAAGGCAACATTCTTTCATTATACAGAAATTGGGTCAAATATGAGACAAACTAAAACTGGACCTGTAATACAAAATGCTAGGTGCAATATACAATACTGTAACTCAATGC